GCTGATACCTCATGCCAGGGCCTTTCCAAGCCCTTCCTGTGCTCCCTCACGTCGCTCTTTACTGCTGGTTCAGATCTGATCCACTCTTACCCAAATGGCAGCTTTCACGCACAGTCTTAAAACCCATAGAGACATAAAATACCTCCCATTTATCGTCTCTCCTGGGAAGTTGTGCATGAACTGTGCTAAGCCTGCAGCCTGTCTTTGTTACTCCTGACCTGCAGCCTTTCGTGCACTTCAGCTCTTGGAAGAACTAGACAGTTTTTTGGGTGTGCTGTTAGAAAGTCCAGGCACAGGAATGAGGGTCATGCTAACATTTTTGAGAGCAAGCTGCTTCCTATGCTCATCATGGGCTTGAGGGCTTTCAGGTGACATCCTCCTGCCAGGGCAACGTTAGGACAGCGATGGGCTCATCCTGCTTCCTCTCTCTGCAAGTGCTGGCTGGGGACGTCGAGCGATGGAAGTGCAGCAGTGCAAGCCAGGACACCGGCTGATAGGGCAGCAAAATCTCCTTCTGCACGAAGCGGCCCTGTGGATGGCAGAGGGATGGGCTGCGGGAGATGGGAGGTCTTTCCAGACAGAAATTTTACAGCACTTTGAAATATCTTTTCAGTTTCAAGATGGCAAAGGCAGGATTGTGCCTTCTCGCTGTGCTAATTCTAATTCTGGCCCTGGCAACAGAGATGGACGCCCCATGGCGTTTAGGGATGCAAGTTGCATGGACAACAAAACCTAAAACTCATTGTTGCTGAGAAAAGTGAAAATGTTTTCACGCTTCCTGTGCTTACACAAAACTACGGTGTGCAAATGCAGAAGCCTGCATGTCGTATTTCAAGTTCTATTTATGCATTGCTTTTGCCTTGTGGTCCCCAATGCCTGTCCTACAGGAAAGCTGAGCTTCAGAGATAAAAACTTTCTAACACTTTAACCTCTGTGAGAACTTCAAAGATTTGAAATAGACTTTTACAATTGAGATGGTTTTTGAATACAGATTTATTTGAATATTTAACCACAATTAAGCCTGAGATGTAGAAGGTGCAGAGTGGGAATTTGACTGTGCACATTAATATCTTGAGCAAGATCTTCAGCAAGTGAAGAACAGGCAGTTTGCCTGAAGAAAAGCATGTAAATTAACTTACACAGCCACATAACCCAACTGGTGTTTGACTGTTTCACGTTTTGTCAGAAGCACACTATAGACCTGGAAACTCCAGATTTTGCAAGACTGCTCTGATTATTGACATAATTAAAATGATGGGACTCTGAGCAAAAGGCACAGTTGAACACTAGAGAAGTAGAGGGAATGCACAGGAAGGAGAAGAAGTGGAAGATGCCTTATTTTCTTCAGTAGCTAGGATATGACCAAACTCAGCAAAGAACTCCTGACACTAGGTTTGACCATATTTTGCCTCTTTCCATCTCTTTGCAGAGCCCAAATTAGCCTCATGTTGGACAGAAAGGAAATGGAAATGCAACTAACAGTAGGAAGCTGGTTTGATGAGGATGGCAGAAGCTTTGCAGTTCCCGTTGCACAGGCTGCCCCACGTTATGGCCCCCTTGACATTCAGCCGTACAGAATAACACGCCGAGTACCACCACCCGCCCCCGTAGCTGGAGGCGCAGTTGCCGCTGGCAGTGTCCTGATCCAGATCTTTGGCGGAGAACTTCATGTTGTCGTGCACAGCGGAAGCACTGTTTGAGGTCATGGCATCCCCTGCCAAGCCTGAGTATGTTCCCAGCCTCAGCCGGTAGCCCTGGGACTCATTTTCCAGGCTGAAGAGATTGTAGTCTGCAAACTTGGTGGTGTTTACAGCATCCCAGATGGCAAACCTGACCTGGTAGACCTTCTGCCTGGTGATCTGATGGATGTACTCGGTGCCCAGCCAGTACTCGGTGTGCACGTTCCCAAAGCCGTACTTGTAGGTGCTCCAGGACTCGGCCCAGGTGATCTCCGTGCTCTGCTTGTTCCTCTGGATGACCGTCCAGCCCCCGTCGGTCAGGTTCATCTCGCAGTACACCACGATGGGGTGCAGTCCTGTGGGCTGGATCACGTAGATGCCGCTGGGGCTGCCGGCAGAGACCTCGCTGCAGTCCTTGGGCCAACCTGGGGCGGGAGAGAACGTGGAGGACCAATAGACACAGCAACACCTTAGTCTGCTTGTCTGGCTCTGTGAGAGGGATTTCTAGAAAATAGCCATATGCGGAATTTTGCCGGGGTAGTAAAACCAGTGTGTTTCTTACTGTAAGTGTAAAAGCAGAAAAACCTCTGTTAGGAAAATACAGGGATTAAAGGAATATGCATGTATTTTGAAGGAATAAGCATAGAATTTGCTGCTTCTTCTGGCTCAGGCTCTTGTTTCTGCAGCCTTTCCCAGAGTTCAGATGTTTCTTGTCCCTCATAACAGTGCAGAGGTCCAAGCCTGGCTTGGTGAGGGCTCCTATTACAGTTATGCAGAAGCTTAAATGAGCAAGTGAGCTCCTTCTGCAGCCCTGGCACACACTGCATCACTAGGCGCGGGAAGGAGAAAACCTCGTTGGCATTGGACCCTGTGGCCAGCTGTGAAACCCCAGCAAGCATCACTTGGGAGGCATGTCCTCTGCTTGTCCTGTGCAGAGCTTCCCAGCAGAGAAGAGGACTTGTGGGATGTAAGTAATGTTTGCAAAGTCCTTTGGGATATTGTAAGGCACGGTTCGGTGTGAGGCTATCACTAAGAAGTGATGTCTGAAGCTATGGAGGAGCACATCAAGCCTTGCCCCCAGGCACTGAGCCAGGTTATCCCCCCTCATTGCCCACCCTGTCGGACCTTCATTGCCTACAGCTCTGCCTGCTCCCTGAGGGGTGATGGGGGCACTCACTGCGCTGCACTGTCTGCTGGGAGTCGCTGGCTCTGCTCTGCCGCATGTTCTCTGCATCTTCCTCTGCATTGGGAAAAACAGAAAGAGTGAGATGAGCAGCCCTGTGCCTCAGCACAGAGGTAACTCCAGCCTCCACAGGCTACTATTTATTTACAGTGCTAAGTGTTTTGTAGGGCACTTCAACAATGCCCCTGGGCTCATTTTTCATGGTAGCTTTTGGTTGTAAACTCTTTAAAGGGATATGACAGTAGAAAGAGTAACACTGCAATCATTGAGCCTATTTGGTTGACTCAGCATTATGGCTTTGCAGAGTTACATTGAGCAGATTGTGTATTCCAGTAGCAGTGACGAGTACATGGAGATGCTGCTAGGAGAAGAATCTAGAAGAAAACAGACTGCGTGTGGTTTCAGACCAAGATCAAACTGTTGAGTGATGGTGCTGTAAATCTGCATTGCTTTTCAGTGGGGGCTGAAGGGGTTTGTGCGTTCATTCAGGTCATAAAAAGCTTCAGAAGCCGTCAGAGAGGAAAAGAAGCTTGAAGCATGTAAGATAGCAGTGCTTTCTTTGAAGAGAAATCACAGCACCCATATTGGTAAGATAGCATTCCCCGAGAGCCTCTGGTGGTGCAACCTCTGTCAGCAGCGTCACCAGTTTATTCTGTCATTGAGGCTTGTGCAAGCTCCAGAAAGCATTTGGGTTGGTCACTTAGACTAAATTTCTCTGAAGTTTCAGGGCTACAGATGGTTGCAAGAGGAAAGGTCTTCCTTTGACTATCCACAGCTCTCTAGAAGAAGTTGTCACATACAGTCTTGTCAATAACAAAGAAAGTTAACTACCAAATCTTACAATGTTTGGATAAGATCTGAGGCTGGAGGAAGATTTGGTCATGTTCCTCTTATTTCTGACTGTGACTGCCCTTCCCCAACATTATTTTCCACATCTGCCTCTCTGTGCAGAGAGGAGAGGACTCCTGATGTTTGGATGAACAGAGTTTAGGGATGTAAGAGAAAAAACACATACCACGATAGGGCTCGGCTGGGTGGAGATTAGTGATTTCCTTTAAGTTTGCTTTTAATATTTTCAGGTTTTCAATCTCCAGAGCAAGAAGAGGGGCTAGCAGGGTCAGCACGGAGGCGAAGAACAGAAGATTGGAGTGATCAGCAGCTGGAGAAAGAAAACACACTGTAAATCTGTAAGTGCAAATCCTCTGAAGGATACTTGGCTACCAAAATTCAGCTGGAGTTAAAACGAATGTACAGAGTAGAAAAATCCATTTTAATTATGCTTTACTTTATTGAGCAGCAGAAGTATAAAGAACACTTTCCAAAAATAAGTGTTCTGCAAAGGCATACATCCTGAAAGAAAAAAAATCACCCAGGCTTTGATTACAACCTACAGGTCTAAATTTGCAGCTTCCAAGAGCAGGGTCATCCTCTGGCTGTGGTCTGGGCTAAAGCGAGGGGCTCCAGGTCTCAGGATCGAGGTGTTAAGCCATCATCAGTATGTGTGTCTTGAGAAAAGCATCTCCTTGTAACACAAGACAGGGTGCAGGTTTGTGGGTACTGCTGTTACATGGAGGTGATCAGGATCTACTGCAGCAGTGACAAATGAGGTACAGGGACCTGAGAGCTCAGCAAGGAAGGAGCTGTGGTGGCCACAGTGCTGGTAGTACCCTGAGAGTCAGGGGCTTCACTAAAGTGTCCCAGAGCATCCCATTCCCACCAGGCGCTGGGCACCCTGCATGGAGCCAGCATCTGCTCCGTGACACGAATGGGGACATGCCAAGGGCCAGCGCATCGCAGCTGGTACCTGGGCTGGGACACTACGCTTCCAAGGACAGTTTCTGCCAGCGTCTGAAACCTGAGCAATTTGGCTCCTTTGGACCGTACCAGATCAGCACATTGCCCAGCAGTTTATTCATGGCCAGCTCCATAAACTTGGGTTGACACCTTGCCCACCCAGCTTCAGTACCTTGAAGGACTTACAAGCATGATGGATGATTAATACTTTAATTAGCTTCTATACTTTTTTTCTTTTTCTTTGGTGCTCTGGGCTCTGGCACAAACATGAGTTAAATAAATGTAAATAAGTTCAATAAACGTTGTCTTTACCACACCACCCAGAGCAGGATGATTTTGCCTGTGGTCAGGAACGAGAGAGTGCGAGAAGCAGGAGGGTCACAGAGACCTGGGGGCACAGCAGGAGTATGGTCATCACACCATCCCATGGCCAGAAACAGTCAGTGGGAAAAGCAGGGCCCAGAGCCAGACAGAGGAGGCAGGGATGCTCAGCCCCATGCAGCGGTGCCGTCCCCTCCCATCCCATCCCACACTCACCCATGCCGTCGCTGCGGGGACTCTGTGGAGCGGGAAGCAGTGGGTTTGGGCTGCTGGCAGGGTGGCCAGCCCTGCCGTTATATACGGCTCGGCAGGTGAGGTGGGGCCTGAGACCCAGACTACAACACTCGCCCTCTGGTTGTCATCAGGGCTGGAAATGTATGATTTGTTTGCTCTCCATCCATCAGCACCTCTGCTCGCACGCCAGCTGTTGCACTTCTGTGATAAGAGGTACCAAATGAACCTCTGCAAACACACAGGATTCCACCAAACTGACGAGTCTCCTGATAAGGATTTCTCTTGAAGTTGTTATTAGTTACAGGATTTGGTGCCAAACCCTGTGGGGACATCCTATGTCCTGGGCTGTGCCGGTAATTTCTGTTAGATGCCCTTTATGGTCTGCCTACCTTAGCACAGTGCATCATCTGAGAGGGAGACCCGCTCTGTGACATTGCACCCTGGTATCCACACAGACCAGGGCAGCAAAGGGGCCTTGTCCCCAGCCTTGAATCCCCCACAGCGATGCAACTGCTTGGCAACTGGGAAGTTGCCCTCACCACAGAGGTGGCTGCAGACTCAGTTAACGAGGTGGCTGTGAGTTAAGTGGAATAAACACTTCATGGACATTGAGCAGTCCAGGCTGAAGCCAGCCTTGCAAATGGCACAGCAATGGGAATGGAGTGCTAAGGAGGGCAGCAGCACAGACTGATGATGCTGGGTTATAGCTCAGTGACACTGATCTAAGACTCTGGTGAGGTGTTTATTGGTGGCTTGACACCAGCAGCTGCCGAGCACCCAGAGTGTGTCCCTGCGCCAGTCCTGGGATGCTCCATGGCACCGCCAGGGACCCGCATGGACTCAGCTGCCCCAGGGCTGGTGCTGGCTGTTTGGCTCCACGCTGCCTTCGTTCCAGGTCCTGCATCCCCCGGTGGCATCGCCACCTCTGCTGTCCTCCAGGGCACCGGCAGGTGCCAGCACACCCTGCCGGCGCCTGGCTGTGCCCTGCCTGGCCCCTGCGCTGGGATGCTCCAAGACTGAACGACTCCTTTCAGTACAGCAAGGAGGACGTTTTCCACCAAGGGATATGTCTTCTCCTGCCCTACACCAGCCCCTCGTAAGATTACCAGCTGCACAGTTACATGTGTATTCACAGAAAAAATGATTCTTGCCAACTTGACATTGCAGTAATGTCTGTTGTGCTGCTGGACAGCAACGAGTATCTTAGACATGATCCAAGACTCCTCCTCGGCAGTTTCCTTCTAATGAGGCACCTTTCTCTGTACAAGAGCTTCCCAAAGTCCCTTGATAGATGCCCTGGGGCTGCAGCATTTGTCTTTGATACATTTCTGGTAGCCAAATTTCAAAAAGATGGCAAAGATGTTACCAGCACTTTGAGCCCCAAGTGGCGCAGGAGCAGGGCTGGCTCCCCACACCCACAACTGAGGTGTCAAGCCGTGACTGACATCCCAGGTCACTGCCTGTGACCCTGGGGAGCAGTGCTGTGGCCCAGTCCACTGCCACCCTTCAGTGCCTCCTGCCACCCTCACTTGGGAGCTGTAAAAGAGGTCCCTGCAGCAGGGACCCCAGGGACTCAAACTCTTCCTAATCTGCTGGCCCTTGGAGGAGCAGTGGGGCATGAGCAGCCTTGGAGCATTGAGCCCAGCCGAGGCATGTAGAGGGGCAAGTGGAGCTGGGTTAGGGAGGCAGAGGAGGGGACTGAGCCCCCTTTGCAGACAGGGACAGGCATCTGCCCCTCACTCTTCCTCTGCCCTCACTGCCCTGGGAGGACCTGCTACCAATGGAAGCATCACCTTAGAGAAGACAGAGTGTCCTGCAGCCAAAGACCCACCACTGGTGACACGCAGGGGTGCAGACTGTCACCACAGAGGTGCAGACTGTCCCGCTGGTGACACGCAGGGGTGCAGACTGTCACCACAGGGGTGCAGACTGTCCCAATGAGACTGCTGTGATGTGGGCCCAGCAAAGCCAGCCAGCAGATGAGGATTGAGGACCTGCTGATGCCTCCCATGGCACTATATGATGAGGGCTTAAAAGAAGAGGGAAACAAGGAGGAGACTTCAACCCCGTCCTGAGGGTTTGCCGAAACACCCTGCGGTGGTGCCTGAAACCAGTTAACCCCCTGACAGATACAGTCCCAACAGCTGTAGCTGCTGCTTGGTGAGCTGGGCATGGGTGCATTGAAGATGCTGTCCCAGACCCAGCCTGGACCAGGCTGTCGGAGCAATGCCCACTCCACATGCAGTGGGGAAGGGCAGGAGGTCAGCAGAGCCTTCCTCAGCCTGTTTCTGCTCATCAAGACACACTGGTAAGGAAGGGAAGTGTTGGAGAAGGGGTACTGCATAGGCACCCTCCAGGCTATTTCTGCTCGGAGCTGCCACAAGCATCCAGGGGTTAGGGATGGCTTAGGGAAGGCTCTGCTGCTGTCTGTCCTCTGCCTCTACTGATCACGGGAAAAAAAAAGGCACCAGTGTTTGCAGCCCAGCCCTGGGCCTGGCTTCTTGGCAGCTCTCAGCAGGGAAGGAGGCTGAGGTAGCCCTCCGGCTGTCACAGAAGTGTCATGACATGCTGAGAGCTGGCAACAGCTGACAAATCATTACCCATGGGTTTTACCCTCTCTGATCTGTGGATGATACAAATCTCCCCTGTGCTCTTGGCATTCACACTCCTTCCCTTCTATTTGCCTTTCCCCTCTCCTTTAGCTCCTTTATGGCCCTGCAGCAGTTGGTAGGGCCCCAGAAACATTTAATTCCTGGGCAGGTCCTGTATATTGCAGTTGTTAAATGCCCCACAGCTGGGAGGTTTGGAATATATTATTTTTTCTCAGAAAATAACCTGAAGGCCTCTTTGAGCAAAGAGAAGCCACCAGATGGACACACAATGATTAACTTTGTCCATGTGAACAGAGAAGCTGAGATCCTCACACAGGGGAGGTGACCAGGGACAGACCCAGGTATAAAGGCACAGACACCAGCATGGAGCTGAAGGCAGGACTGACTGCTCAGGCTTCTGGCATCCGCTCTTCAGCACTGCAGTGATGGGTGAGTCCTCCTTTTCCTCATGGCTTCTTTCCTGCAGATCTGGGCACAGTCCTGCCTCGTGCAGAGGGATGCAAGGAGAAATCCAAGCTAAGTGACAGCAGTGGGGTACCACGGCAGCTGCTGCTGTCTAGTGTCTGTCCTGCTCCTCTCCTTTCTATCCAGTCTCTTATTTCTCGTTCTCTGCAGCTGCTGCCACTGGGTTGCTTTCTGCATCCCCATGAACTGCGTGCTCTGCACCTGGAACACCAGGTTTTGTACCCCAAACTCAGCTGCAGTGCTTTGAATGCCTTTAACACAGATTTACTTCTTCCCCATAAAAATATCCTTTTACCTCTAGATCTGTAGAAAAACAAACTGACCACATTTAGGAGAAACTTGAGAAAAATCTGACTCCAGGTTGCTGTGTGGTGCAGAGAAGGGGCTGACCTGGAGGGTGACAAAGCCATTTCTTACTTAGCTTCACCTCTGCGAGGGCAGAGCCTGCACTGAATCTGCAGCTCCCACCACCCCAGGAACCCCCAGCTCCTGCTCCTGCGGCTCTGCCTTCCCTGGTCCAAGCTTCCCAGGGCTGGGGGCTGCCCAAGGATCCTGATGGTGACAGTCACTTTCCTCCCCAGGGCTCCCGGCTGGGACACACCAAAGGGACTTTGTCCTCCTGCCCATGGCGGTGGCGATGCTTCTGCTCTGTGTGACCCCAGTGCCTGCTGCCAGATCCCAGAGTGGTGAGTACGGGTGCTGGGGAGACCCCCAGGTTTGGGGGCAGCTGTGCTGCCCATCACTAAGCACTGCCAGGCTCCGAGTGCTGGGTGCAAGTGTCCCTGTGCACACAGAGAGACAGCAGAGAGAGCACGTCTCCACATTCAGACCTAAGCTGCAAAACAGGGCAATCCTTGCCTTCCACCACCAGCAGATAAGAGGCATTCCCAACATACTGACTGGTTGTGGAGCCCAGTGAGATCCAGCACCAGCAGCACCAGTAACACTGCCCCACAGTAACCTGCCAGCACAGTCTCCTCTGCAGCAGTGCAGGTCCCTCATGCCTTGCTGATCTGCTGTCGCAGGGTTTTCCGTAGACTGCAGCCACCTTGCCAGCAGCAGCCCCAGCGGGGTGTACGTCATCCAGCCGGCCGGGGCACCCCCGCGCGTAGTGTGGTGCGACATGGACACCGAAGGCAAGGGCTGGACTGTTGTCCAGAGAAACACTTACACCACCAGTATCACATGGAAGGAGTCCTGGACCACCTACAAGTACGGCTTTGGGGACGTGCAAGGCGATCACTGGCTGGGCACCGAGTACCTGCACCTCCTGACAAAGCAAGGCACCTACAAGGTCCGCTTCATCGTGCGGAATAAAGCCAATGTCACCCATTACGCCGAGTACGACATCTTCAGTGTGGAGAGTGAGGCGAGTGGGTACCCACTGAGGCTGGGTCGGTTCCTGGGCAGCGGGGAGGACTACCTGACCAGCTACCACTCCAGGTATGGGGGCATACACGACAACATGAAGTTCAGCACGGTCGACAGGGACCAGGACCAGCACAGCACGAACTGTGCCAACAGCTACGGGGGCTGGTGGTACGACAAGTGCCAGAACGTCCTGCTCAATGGCAAGAGGTACATCTACTGGCCAGGAATCTGCTCGAGTGGCGACTGTGTATCCTCCCTCATCCTGGTCAAGCCCACAGACGTGTGCTGACCGTGCTGCAGCCACCCGGGAGTTTGTGGCAGTGCCACCATCCCCAGCTCCGTGCCCCG